AACCTGCTTCTGCGTGGTTCAGGGACACGGGACACTGTTTTTACAATGCAAGCCTCCGCTTCCACTTAAATGCAGCCCACGCTGGAACAGAAGCCATCCTTGCCTGACTTGGCCTGGATGAAACAGGGTTTTTTTTTTGCAGTGAATGCACATGCACAGTGGGGATTTCAGGGGATCTAGACCAAGGACGTGCTAGTGCTTAGCGTGCAGTAGGAATGGTTTGCTGTCGTGACATCATGTGTAGCCTGTTGATCAGTACCGGAGAGTGATAACAAATGGACAGACGAGGCCAAGCCCTATGCAGTGTGTAGCCCTGTGCTGGAAAGATCACAGCCGCATGCGACTGACCCAAAGGGCTCTTCTTTCTTAACTTTGGGCTGCACATGGATAGGTGGCTGTGCCAACAAAGTCGTACTGATTTCAGTGGCCTTTCCATACAGACACTAACAGCCGGATGCACAAAGGCAGTTTAGGTGCCTGAATACGTTGCGCATCTGGGCCTAAATTCACAATGCAACCCAGATAACCCGAGCATCTGAAAGCAGCTCTCTCTGTCCTTTAGCTCCCTGTGGAAACTGGGTCACTGGAGTGCACGGCTGCAAGCTCGGTGTTATCCAGTATGTCACTCTTCTCCCTGATTTGCCTTCAAAGGGACAGTGTCTCACATGGCCAGTGTTGCAACCTAGGCTGCTCAGACATTTCTTGTCAGTTTATGTAGCAAGTCTTGCATATCTTTAGCTAATAGCTCCTGTGGCTTCTCAGCTGCAGAAAGGAGCATGTAGGGAACCTCCAGCCTTGCTGCCATGATCCAGTTGCTGCTAACAGGGGCAGTTCAGCCTGAGCTACAAGGGGGAGGGCAAAGCAAGCAGGGAATTGTCTAGTTGCCTGCTTGTACCTCCTCATCCCACACCCTATGGTCGTGTTTCATCTATGTGTGATTCCCCAGAGGCAGCAACAGCACAACACTGAGGATGGTGCTGTCCTCATCCGTCTAGCATAGTGGCTTAACAGTGACTGGGGAAAACACAGCTCAGCAAGGCACAGTGCTCCAGGAGAACAGCCAACTGCCCCAGGGGGAGGGATGGGTTTGCTAGATCAGGCATTGACTGCTGATGTAGAAAGGTAGGAAATCAATATGGACCACAAAATGGGTGGGTGACATTTGCCCATAGTGAAAGATGGCTGCCCAGACAACTGAGGAATTGCCACCCAGTGGACACTGCCCAGGCTGAGCACAATCATCATCATTGGCAATCCTTCAGTCGAGGATGATTGTCTTCCAGGATCGCCTTATCTGTGGGTTCGAAGCTGTCTGACGAGGCTGATCCAGGATCAACAGGTCCTACTGCAACTCGGGCACATGTTTCTGTGCAGGGCGGGTGGCTCCGATTTCTTGATTTGGTCACGACTCTGTTTTTGCCGCTCCTGCTTTTCCATCTCTTTTTGTTGTCATGAGGTTTCAAAGTACTGAAGTCCTTGCAGCCGACTTTGCCTCCATTTGGGGCAGTCCTGGACAAAAGTCTCCCACAAGTTGATATCAGTGTTACATTTTTTTCAAATTGGCCTTGAGGACCTCCTTGAAGTGCCTTCTCTGCCCTCCTCTTGAGCATACGCTTTGACTGAGCTGGGAGAATAAAACTTGCTTTGGGAGCCTGCAGTTGGATATTCAGATCATGTGACCAGCCCAGTGAAGTTGATGTTGGATGATCATCGCCTTGATGCTCGTGGTGTTTGCTCGCGAGAGGAAGCTAACGTCGGTGTGTCTGTCTTCTCATTGGATTTGAAGGATGTTCGGCGTCATTGATGGTACTTTTTCAGGGACTTGCAGCCTCTCCTGTATGTTGTCCATATGTCAGCTCCATACAGTACGAGAGGGATCATGACTACTTGATAAACCACGAGCTTGGTTTTGAATCTGATATCATGATCTTCTAATGCCCATTTCCTTGGACATCTGAAGGCTGCACTTGCACATTTGAAGCGATGTTGGATTTCTTCATTGATGTCAGCCTTCTGTGAGAGATGGCTTCCAAGGTACAGGAAATTCTCAGTGTGCTCCAGAGTCTCACCGTAAATCTAAATGACCAGAGCTGAGAACTGCTCATTAAGAGCTTTTTGATGGAGGACCTCAGTCTCCTGAATATTAAGCGTCAATCCCATTTTCTTGTATGCCTCAGTAAAGACATCAACAATTGCCTGAAGGTCTGCTTCCAAGTGAGCACACATTATAGCATCATCAGCATACTGGAGCTCTATGAGGAGGAAGGAACTTGAGTTCAAATATTACCTCCCTTTCCCGTACTGTGCAGGTGAATATACCTATTGCAAGAGTCTGGACAAGTCCAAATGAAGGGAGAGAAATATCCGTAAAGTAGAAAGAGCAAAGGCTGGGTCATACATCCTTCCAGATCTTCGCATTTATGTAGTGCATGGATTTCACTTTTGAGCCTGCAACCAATACTTCATTCTTGGGAGCTGGGAGGGTCTGAGTGCTTGCGTTACAGCTCTGGGAGTGTCAGTGCACTGGTGCTTCTGCTAGCACTTAAAAAAAACCAGAGGTTCCTGGAGAAGGAGGGTCTGGCTTTTCCGTTGAGGGTCAGATCAATGCTAGATTTGGGTCAGGAAGGAATTTTACCCCTAGGTCAGATTGGCAAGGACTGTTGGGCATTTGCCTTGTGAAGCATGGAACATAACACCCCCTGGGTTGTTTCTCTTGGGATCCTCTACTCGTACGTTAACCAGTTACTTCCCTGTTCTTTGTAGTACTGGGGCTTTGGCTATGCCCCCGTCTCTCCTGCTTTTCCCATGGCATGTCTATAGGGTAATGGTGGTGTTACAGATGATCCTTGTAGTTGTGTGTGAGGGTTTGAAGTACAGATTCTGGGGATTCCCTTGGTTCATGATCACCTGCAGATGCAGGAGATTGGACTTCCTGGGCCACCGAGTCTCTTATGTCAGAGGTGAAATGACTTGCCTAAGGTCAGTCAGCAAGGCTGTGGCTGAGCAAAGATTAGGGGACTGGCTCCCAGACAGAACTTGTTGTGTACAGGGTAGGGGAGACATGATAAAAACTTTCAGATATTGCTGGGCTGCTGTGTTCTCCATTGTCACCAAGGACAGGACCTGTGGTAGTGCCTTCAAACTGCAGTAAAGCACATTCAGATCAAATCTGAGGAAAAGCTTCCTGTCCATCAGAGAGGACCATGGAACAGGCTGCTCGGGGAAGTGATGGAGCCTCCATCACTGGAGTGCTTCACATTCCTAGAAACAGCTGGGTAGGATGGGCACCCATCTGGGGTGGGTTATGCATAGCAACTTCTGTGTATAGGGTTGAACCAGGTGACCTTTGAGGTCCCTCCCACCCCCGGGCTTCTAGCCTTTAAATGACTTGTTTAGCTGTCACGGTACAGGTAGGGCATTTGAACATGTCTACCCACATGCTACCAATAATGTGCCCTTCCCAGAGTCCTGGCACTAAAAGCCACGCTTGGGCGGAGTCGGGGTGTGTTGCTGGAACCAGTGCTCATGTAGCTGGTACAGAAAGCACCTGAGCTGGTTTGGTCTGTCCTGCAGAAGCTGGAACTTGTTCTTTGCATGCAGTGACATTTCTAACTTCTCCCTCTCTCTGTTTTGCAGCTTTTCCGACGTGTGGCAGCTGCCTTGCCTGGAATGGAAAGCACACAGGACAAAAGCAGAGAAGACAGTATCCTTTTTGTGTTCCTGTTGTCATTGGGTTATGGAAACTCATGACTGGGCACTGTGAGCACGGGGAGGACGCAGCCCCTGAGCAGCGGAGGCCGGTGTGCGGGAGAGGAATAACATCTGCCCTGTAGACCCTCAGCCTAGCTATTGTTAGTTGGCTGATTTCCTGTGGGCTTCCTACAGAAATAAGCCATGAGGAGAAGGATAGGAGCCCGTGTACTTGAGTTCAGTAAGCATGGGCCATGCTTTTAAGCAGTGCTGGGGAAGAAATTACCTGGCCAACTATAGAACAGCTGGAGGGTGCTGAGCCTGGGGCTTGTGGTGGAGTGGAAGGACTGAGGTCTGCTGTACAGTGAGTGGAGAGGTAGGAACGGTCATGCTGTTGAGATATCTAGAAGTGAAAGCAAGTATCCCGCTGCAGGACAGGGGAGAGCAGTGGGGAGATGAAGAGATTGGTGTGGTCAGCTGGATAGGTGAGGGAGAACTAGTGAGTGTGAACAGCTGGGATGTGGGGGCCCAGCAAGGCCGAGCCTACATCAATACTGGTTGTAGACGAAAAGGTGCTCGCCTGTGGGTTGCAGCCACTACAACACACTGTGGTGTGTTGGGGAATCAAGAGCTTTGCTCCCACTGCAGGCCACCGACTGCTTGATCCAGGCTGATTTTATTAACAGAAAGGCCGGTGCTAGAATCACAGTCCTCCCATGGACCTTCCTGATGACTCTGCCTCCACAGGGGAGTCGAATGATCCCTCTCCAAAGGGGGAGAGCAGCAAGCTGGCTTCCAACAGGGGCTTTGTGCAGAGCGCAGATAGCAAGGCAGCTCGCAGCTCATTGCATTCTCTTGTAAAAACAGGTCAGCATCAGTGGTGGAGGGACAGTTTTCCATGGGCTCCTGTTAGCAGCACGCTGTCAGTTCAGGGACCCCAAAGCTGTGCAGTTTCATGTCCACAGCTCATCTGCGTGCTGGTGGCAGAGCTGTGGATTTAAGTATCTTCATTAAGCAGCTCTCTCTTAATACAGTGGGGAATTTAGAGACACTAAAACTGCACAGCATCTGTAAGCAACTCCTCTTCAGTTCTGTGCTTCCCACTAACCTCCCCTTCTTATTTGTTTGCCTCCATCCCTTGCAAGGGGGAAGGTGCAGTCCCAGGAATAGATAAGCAATGCTGGCTTCCACTAGCGGTTTGCTGCTATGGGCTCGCTGATAAGGGAAGTATTTGAGGCTTGCGCTGAGCTGACAGCTGCCGTCCTGCTCAGAGGTCGGCATTCAGAACTGCTGATCTGAAGGCTGCAGGCTGGAGCCCCACACATTGTGACCGCAGTGCATCGTGCTTTGGGGATCAGCAGGGCAACAAAGAGAACAGCTTATCAGTTGCTTCTTGTTATCAAGCAACAAAGAGAACTGCTTTTGAGTGGAAGATGGGAGCAGTCTTGTGCCGCAATTGGATATCAGCTGTTGTTGCAAGGCATAGGGAGATGGTGGGGTGGGGGGAGAGCAGTCTGGTTGCAGGAGGGGTTACTGGTTACTTACCCCAAAGACAATGAACGCAGCTTATCCAAGCACATTGGATGGGAACAGTGCAGGGGGTGTAAGGGCTGCAGGAGCATTTGGAGGGGTGTAGTGGGAGAAGAGATGGGAATAAGCCCCTGGTGGGGGGGACACAAAAGAATTGAGTAGACGGTTAGCAGTGGATGGTGCTTTGCTGTCCATGCTGGGAGCAGGGCCGTGGATACTCTGGCCAGAGGTATCTGCTTTGTGGGACTGAGTGGATCTTCCTGGCCCAGAGCCAGGCATGGGGAAGGGGAACCATAGGAGCTGCTCCCTAGTGGGGTAGTGTGTGATGATGAGCGGAGAAAATAACGACACTGGCTGTCCTTCTCTCATTTGCCCGGCTCCTAGCCATTGCCAGGCCTTGCTGCTCATTCAGCCAGCCAGTCGCTAGTCATCGTGGAAAGCAGAAGCTGAATGTAGCATTTGTTCCTACCCTACCTGTTTGAGATGTCTGTCTCCTGTGCTGCTGTCAGTCCCTCACTTGATCTCCCGCTCTACTGATCCCTCAGGCAGGAAGGGGGTTCGGAGATGCTAAAGCCGTGACACCTGCTTAAGAGGTTGCCAGGGCAGGCCCGGCTGCCAGAAGCGCATCCTCACACAGCTCAGAGGTCCACGTGGGCCTAGCAGCGCATCAGGGTAGTGTGGCTGAGCCAGGCTGATTCCTGCAGCCAGTCGCAGTGGAGGGAGGGACATGCCTAGTATCGGGCCCAGCTGCCTATGACTTCCTCCCACCCACTTCAGAATAACCAGGTGTCGTTTACAACTGGGTTAGCTGGTTCGCTTCGACGCAAACCCACGGTGAGGCTCAAATTGCACCCTGTGGAGCTGTAGTGGGACATTTTGGCTGCTCTGCCCTCGTCCATGCATACCAACCCGTTCCAGAGCACTGGGGACTGCTGGGAATCGCTGGCGTTCTGATATCCTTGAGGTTTGGGGGTTTCCAAAGGTATAAGGGTCGTGAATCCCAAGGGAATTGGCGGCTGAGCTGCTCGAGGCGCTCTGAACACCCCACCTAGAAATAGGGCAGAAAAGCCTGGTAGGAGAGGGGCTGGCTTGTGACCCCACCGCGGTAACTCTCAGACTTCTCGCCCTTTGCCTTAACTCCTTTCCAGTGATCGACATAAAACTGGAAAAGCCTCAAGAGCAGCCCGTCAGTGAAGGAGGCTGCTCCTGCTAATACCGTGCGGCTTGTCCCATCTTCTCCAGAACATCACTGCTTCCCCCTCCCCTTGACTCTCCATTGACTGCAGTGTGAATATTGGCTTGAACCTCCCCCCTTTCGGTAATAACGTATCGCAGTTCATCATGGCTGGCTGTCTCGTGGAGATGATCTCTTTGCTTCCCAAGCGCGCACACACGCACACCCATGCAAGAAAATGTCGGTGTCTTCATTATTTATAAGAAAAAAAAACAAAAAATAAAAGCCAAAATATTCCAGTATATTCCAGTTATAACTGTAAAAAACAAAAAACAAAAAAGCAAACAACCCCCCCCCCCCCCCCCAAAAAAAAAAAAAAAGATAGGTACAATTTCTTAATCTTTGTTCCTTATTTTTTTTTAACATTATGATCTTGCACTTTGAGATGATGGAACATGGAGTTAAGTTTCTTTTTTGGATTGGACGTGGTTGAGAGAGACATGCAGAATTATAACCCTTTGCATAGCTCACCTGTTGGACTTCTCTAACAAAGCTGGAAATGGCTAGAGCACAGGCAGAGATGATGGTTGGAGGGACAGAGGCTGTCCAAAAAAAAAAAGAGCGAACCCCCCAAAAGAAATGAATTCTCACTCTCTCTAGGAGGGAGATGCCCTGACCTGTTTTCAACCCGCCTGCCCAGGCATTAGCAGGGCATTGCAGCTTGAAAGACGGCTGGCTCTCTAGTTGAGTCACGGCTGCATTTCCCACGGGATACGTGGCATTGGAGGGGAGGGGAACCCACCCGCATTACCGAAACATGCAGGACACGAGGAACCCAGATGTTTTGGCTGCATAATGAGTTTTAAGCTTTTTGTCCCCTCCCCTCCCTTTTATGTAGAACTCCAATAAAGTAAATTATTACTTGAGAGACTGGGACACGGCGTTTCAGTCGTGGGCAGAAAACGGTGTTTTTAAAGATAGGGGAGATTTGAAGTCAGTGCGGCGCTGGCGCTACTATTCGCTGGGGTGGATCAGAGTCTCTACATTGAGCTGAAACATGGACCAGCCTTTGGTTTAACTAATAGATATACAATAATGTACAGTGTATGGATGGGGAGGCGAGGAGATGGATGAAGGAGTGGCATCTGCTTTTCCTCGTCGTGGTCCTAGGTAATGGCTTGGTGGGGGGAAACGGTTTATTCGTAGGAACAGACACGAGAGAGACGCTGGGGAGAAGGAAGGGCATTGCATAGGATGGAAACAAACACACAACGATGCAGATTTTATGCCTTTCTATTGTTTAGTGTTTTTTTTTATGTTGGGTCTTCCAAACTGGTTTAGTGGGTTGTTTTTTTTTTTCTCCACTCGCTCTGTATAGTTTGGTTAAAAACTAGTAATTTAGTTTTATATTTAACTAAGCTCCAACTAACCATTCTTCTTTGGTGATATTTATTTCTATGCTTTTACTTTATTTTTTTTTTTTTATTACTATTTTCAGTGTTTTTTGTTTTTGGCCGAGGAGTCTGTTTAGAGCTTTGCCAACGTTGCAAGTTGTAGCTACCTGAGAAACACTGAGGAACAAACACGCTAGGAGTTGCACCCTTTTAATCTTGACTAGTCATTGTGAAATTGCTGTGTAAGTTAATAAACACACTTGTAAATACATTGTTTGCAGGGTGAGTGTTGCTGAGTTACAGTGCAGGAAAGATTGCTCAAGTCCCCGCTGTGAGCATTACTTAATGAACAAAACCTAATTACAACACATTCAGACTCCTCCCTCACTTGCCTGCCACCCCCTGCCTAAGATCACCTGTGAAGGGGAGGGGGAGAAGCAGGCAGGTGTCCTCTCGCCTGGAAATAGGTAGATGACATCTGCATTCAGGAGCTGAATATCAAACCGCAGCCTGAGCTGGGTTTCGAATAACTCTGCATACCAATAACTTACCGTTAAAGGCAGGCTGAGATGTAAAGTGCTTTTATAATGCAATATTAAAGGCAATTTTTTTTTGACGTGGCATGTCTTGAAATAAACATCAATGATATGTGACGAAGGATCGTTCTTTCTTTAAAAGAAATGGATGTTGCGGGGAGGGGAGCCGGGCTGGTTTCCCCCTCCCCCATTGTGCTATTCTGGACTGCGCAAAAATGATTTGGCTCAGTAACTCTTCCTGTTCCGTCGTCTTTGGCTCGAACACTTAAAGCAGCTCATTTTGTTCATGGTTAGGATTCTTTTTTTAAAACCAGCAAATTTATTTATTTCTTTTTGGCTCCCAATAAAATGTAATTAAACGCTAAAACAAGATGCTTTGGCCAAATCTCTTTTCCCTGTAGTTCCAGGCTGGAGAAGTTTTGACTTTGCAGTGTCCTGGCTTGTCCAGTGGTTGCTCAAACAAGTCGACCTTACTCTGAGTAGATCTGTTACGTGTGATGGGGACTCAGCTGCTCCCCTAAATAACTGTTTTTGGAGATCGGCCCAGTAGGGCTTTTGTCTTTTCTAGAAAATTTAGAACAGGATCTTGCATTGCGGATAGCAGGACAAGTCACGATGATGGCGTCTCTCCATGACGCATTGAACGTGTGGCTCCACATAGGCAGGACAAGCCAGTCTCATGCTTCATACAGTTGGGTTCTGCAGCTGGGTCCTGGTCTAACGCTCCCCACTTCTGCAGTGACGCACGCTGAAGCAGGACGTTTGGTCTCGGTAATAATTCCTCATTCCCACTCGCTAACTTTGTTTGCTCCCCTCACGCTGCCCGTCGAACAATGGTAAGACCCGTTTCTTAACTACGGTTTTAAAACTATTTTCCTCTGTTTCTTTTTCTCCTCACCACTTGGGCTTGATTGGTTTGCAAGAAATGCTGCAACTGTCTATCCTGATGCAATTTATTCAGCTTTGTAAGGGGGGGTCCTTCTTTTCTTCATATCACCAGGACCTCAGTTCTGTTTGATAATACCAACCAACAAAAACTCCTTAGTGCTTGAACTAAATAAATACCTGTCTCATTGGGAAGCCTTGGTGGGCCATGTCTCAGCACGTCCTTTGGTTAATGTATCGTGTGAGGGTGGAGGGTATGAATGACTCATGCCTCATTTCTTCCATGAGAGGTCTGTCATTTGTCTTCCAGGGTTCAGTCATTGTAGGGGGCTTAGATGTACATCCCTCTTGTTTCAAGAGTGGAAATCCTGTGTGGCACAGTGGGAGGGAGAACGAACAAGCTCCTGTGCCCTGCTTCCTAGCTTTTAGATCTACAGGGCATCACTCAGCGTCTATAGGACATGTGAGATTCGCTCGGAGCAGCGCTTTCCACCTTGGCCACACACAGGAGCCAGGGGTTTTCTTGTCCTTCCTTCCCTTGCAGCCAGCGACCACCTCCCTCTTGGAGCCAGTAATCGCTGCCCCAGTCTGCTTTACCACCCTTGTGAAGGACGTTCACTTGTACAAATAGGTACGTTGGTGTCCAGGCTCTGGGGTGAATCTCAGCACGTTCCCACTGTCCGGTTCCTCATCAGTTTTTCACTCCATGCACATCCCAGAACGTGCAGCAAGTCTGGGCTTGGAACTGAACCTCACTCTCTGGTGAGAGCTGGTGCATCAAGAGAAATGGAGGCAAAGCAATTGTTAAATAGGTTAGCTTTGTCATCTCACCAGACGACAAAGCTAACCTATTTAACAATTTCTTTGCCTCCATTTTTCTGAGCAGGGACCAGATCATCCCGCACACTGGGATCCCCAATGGTCCCAGGGGAGGCACAGCCAGGCCCAACGTCAGTGTGGACCTAGTCAGGGAACTTCTGGGGGGGACTGGACATATTTAAATCAGCAGGTCCTGACGATCTCCACCCCAGAGTGCTGAGGGAATTAGCAGAGGTCATTGTGGGACCCCGGCACGGCTTTACGAGCACTCGTGGTGATCTGGTGTGGTGCCAGAGGACTGGAAAAGGGCCAATGCGGTCCCCCTTTTCAAAAAAGGGAGGAAGGAGGACCCAGGGAATTATAGGCCTGTTGGTCGTACCTTGGTCCTGGGGAAGCTCTTTGAGAAAATTATCCAGGAGCACGTCTGCGAGAGACCAGCAGGGGAGATCATGCTTAGGGGCAACCAACATGGGTTCATTCAAGGCAGGTCCTGTCAGACCAACCTGGTGGCCTTCTACGACCAGGTCACAAAATCCGTGGACGCAGGTGACACGGTAGACATAGTCTTTCTGGACTTTAGGAAGGCCTTTGACACTGTCCCTCACCCCATTCTTGTTAAAAAATTAGGAGATTGTGGTGTCGATGCCTACACAGTCAGATGGGTCACCAATTGGCTGGTGGGCCTCACCCAGAGAGTGGTGGTGGATGGGTCATTTTCTACCTGGAGGGATGTGGGCAGTGGGGTCCCCCAGGCCTTGGTCCTTGGGCCTGCACTGTTCAACATCTTCATCTGCGACTTGGATGAGGGGGTGAAAAGCACCCTGTTCAAATCTGCAGATGACACTAAGATGTGGGGGGAAGTGGGCACGCTAGAAGGGAGGAATAGGCTGCAATTGGATCTGGACAGGTTACAGGGGTGGGCGGATGAGAACAGGATGGGTTTCAACACTGACAAGTGCAAGGTACTGCACCTGGGGAGGAAGACCCAGCAGCAAACCTACAGGCTGGGGAACTCCCTTCTCGTCAGTGCAGAGGCAGAAAAGGATCTTGGAGTCAGTATTGATGCCAAGATGAACATGGGCCACCAAGATGAACATGGGCCGCCAATGTGAGGAGGCAATCAGTAAGGCTAACTGCATCTTGTCATGCATCCACAGATGCATCTTGACCAGGTCCAAGGAGGTGATCTTCCCCCTCTATGCGGCACTGCTCAGGCCCCAGTTGGAGTACTGCGTCCAGTTCTGGGCGCCGCACTTCAGGAGGGATGTGGACAGCATGGAGAGGGTCCAGAGGAGGCCACCCACATGGTCAGGAGGCAGCAGGGCAGGTCCTACGAGGAGAGGCTATGGGATCTGAACCTGTTCAGCCTCCACAAGAGAAGGCTGAGAGGGGATCTGGTGGCTGTCTAAAACTGGCCAAGGGGGACCAGCAGGCATTGTGGGAGCCCCTGTTCCCCCGAGCACTACTGGGCGTAACAAGGAACATCGGTCATAAGCCGGCAGAGGGTAGATTCAGACTAGACATCAGGAGGCGCTATGTCACAGTCAGGGCAGCTAGGATCTGGAACCAACTTCCAAGTGAAGTGGTGCTGGCTCCTACCCTGGGGTCTTTAAGAGGAGGCTGGATGAGCACCTTGCCGGTGTCGTTTGACCCCAGCATCCTTTCCTGCCCATGGCAGGGGGTCGGACTTGATGATCTGCTCAGGTCCATTCTGACCCGACCAACTATGAAACTATGAAGAGAAGAGCAGTGGCTGCACGCCAAGACCCAGCTGGCCAGCCCCATCTTAGCCAGGCAGTGTGGGGAGAAGGTCCCGTGTGAGAACTGTGGCCAGAGGAGCCAGGCATCAGGTCCAGGAGATTTGTCTGGGGTTCAACATCTGTTCACTGGGGGAAAACACCATGGAATTAGTGGCAGCTCGCACAACAGGTCAGCAAGCTTTCCTGTTCATGGGGAAAGGGTGAGACACTGAGTTGGCATCTTAGAGGGGCTTGGATATCCCAGGTGGAGGGAGCCAGCCCTGAAAAATGGGACTTGCGGCATGTTCTTAAGGCTGATTGCATGGAGGCACCTCCCATTTTGAACTAGTCGCACGTTGCCCAACATGAATGCATTGGCAGTATTGATTTAACAGGAAATGTCTCTGTGTTCCCTAAGGCAGGCCCAGGCCGTTTCCAGCCCCTATCTTGCTGTGGCCACCACATCTAACCGGCAGCATATGAAAAGGCAAGGTGCATGCTGGCCCTGTGGGCTGGTTTCATCTTCAGTCATACTGAAGATGACTTGTGCAGCTCAGTCCCTTGTTCGCTGCCCACCAGGATTTCAGCTGGGGAAGTTGGGATGTCCAGGTGGCAGCAGGAGGGAGAACCCAGGTGCCAGTCCCTTGACTTGGGGCTTTGCAGCCCTCTTGGCTAACTCCTGCTAGCTTCTGCTCATGGGTTGGGACACAGCTGTGTGGTCACATGGAAATTGCTCTTCCCACCAGCCAGTATCAATGGGAGCAACACCTTTGCCAGATGTTTGTCATAGGACTATAGAGACATCCTGAGCCATCCTGCCCAGCCACAGGCAACCGCATCCCTGATTCTTTGCATGGCTTCTGATAGACTCTGATTATTTTGTGGCTGCCCTTGTGCTATGATTTCTTCCCTAGGTTAACAGGTAAGACCTTGGGCATGGACTCCTATTGAAAAGATACTGAGGAAAGGTAGGAGATGGCACAAGAATGGAGACCTCTATTGTAATCAGAAGATGCACTTCAAATTGAGTTTGTAAAGCTTTCCTTGACTGACTGGAAGCAACAGTTACGGTCTAGAGGTGTGCGCAGGGCCTGGCACATGAAAGCCCTAGTTAGTCCTCGTCTGGATTTATATATGATCATCTGGACTAATATATATTAGTCCCTCCTATATATGTTAGTCCAGATTAGTCCTCACCTGGATGTATACATAATAATCTGGACAAATATATATAGAAGGGGCTAATCTATATTTCTCCAGATTATCATATAGAAAGCCCTAGTCCTCATCTGAACTTCGTGTGCCAGATAGAAAACAGCTTCACTATATATTTTTATCTGTAGTGCCGATGCTGTTGCCAGGGAAACTGATGCATTGTTTTTAAAAGCTTTTGAGGAGCGGAGCGGTTTGCATGGTAATCCTTGCTCACTGCTGAAATGATGCCTAAATAGCTTTTGGATCCAAATCTCTGGGCCTGGCCTGCGGTACACACAACCTTAGCTGTGCAGAGGCTTGAATTGATGCCAAGTTTTAACACAGAGTCCTAAGTTTTAACTGGGGAGTCCTAAGTCTCAGCCGTCAGAGTAAGGCTCAAGTCTGTGCTGATTTGATAGCAGCTTGGGACTCCTGGTGGCTCAGTGGTCTCCAAAATGTCCACTTGGAGGTATGGTGAAA